TCTTCGATTGTAAATGCAAAATGACGAATATTGAAGCCTGGAACTGATGGAAACATTGCGATATTTATTTCGATTTCGTCTTCTGTTGATGAGTGCACATTAAATAGTAGTAGTTCGGCGTTTACGTGTATAATTAAGTAAATGGTTAAACACGAATACTGTTCATTATAAAAGCTATATTTATGAAAAATACAATTACTTACTGTCGTTCTAATTAAGTGTAAGTGACAACATGCACCCATCTGATGGCACGTGGAACATGGTTCCAAACCAAGCCGTAAGTACTGAAAGTGATCACTATATCCGACGAAAGAACGTAGTTTTAGTCAGAATTGTCTGCTAAGATGTTCAACATTGAAATTTGTATTTTCTGTTAAAAAATGACAAATTAATTAGGCAAAAGTTCTCTTCATTCATCTATTTTACCACACCAAAGTATGGTACATTTATCACACAAAAGTATGTCTAATGCACATATAGCTGAATAGTTTAAATGGAATAAAGACAATAAAAAGAGCAATTTTGATATGTATTTTTTTGTTAATATTAAATGTAAGCTGTTATTTTTCTATTTTGTGTTTGTGTGTGCGTGTGTGAGTAATGAATTCTTATTGTAGTCTGGTGAAGCCTATGCACGTGAAGTCATTTTTTTAAATATGTGATATCTAGTGGTGTAAAAACTTACTATAATTTCAGTTTCTCGGTTACATTTATAATTAAAGAAATATTAAACTTTAGTCTGGGAATAAAGATATATTATTTCTTGAGTCTGACCTTACTGGTGATACACACGACCACATTTAACTCTTCACCCCACCACCTTTAACCACTAAAATTTTTTAGCATTCAGTTTCCCTAATAAACAAACCACCTTGCAAAATTTCAAAAAATTTCAATGAATAACACTGTAGTTATTAAGCTTCAAACAGGAAACACGAAATTATGCCCCGACACTCTAACATCCATACATACAGAAATTACCTCCGAATTTTTAGTTATTTTTTCTTTATTTTCGGGGTGGTCCATCCGGATACTTCCCTCGCCATTCATAATGGGCGTACAAAAATGCGGGCCCTCTTAGTACAAACAGGACAGAAAGCGTTAAATAAAAATGCCAAACTCAAATAGAAATGATAACGTGGAAGCATTTAGCTCTATTTAATTTGTATTTATATTCTGTATTGTTTTTATCTTCCCATTATGAAGAGCGACAAAAAAAGAGTAAGGTTCGTTCCTAATGAGAATCAAACATACGTATCTTTACAGTGGAAGCGCGACACGATTCCACATAGCCATGTACAATATTTATTTACTTAATTAAAGTATTAATCAATAAAAATGTATTATAATAACAATATAATTATATTTATTTATTATATAAATATTAATTAATATTAATTTTTAGATTTTAAATATCTTTAGAATTTCATAATTTAAATAATTTTTATGCTTAATATAATCGTTAGGTGGCACTTTTTAATGTAAACACACGTGGTCGTGTTGCCTGTAGCTATGGGTGATGTAAACGAGTTAACTTTGTATCCTTCAATTTACATGATTATAATTTAATATAAATAAATATTAATAGATTTAAGCAGTCGTTTTATTTTATGAAAGAATGCTGTAGATAAGTAATTGGTGTATTTTAGTGACTGTAAACTGCTGTACACGCTGACTTGTTCGTAGAACAACAACGGGTTTTAAGTTTTTGGTGTAGTTAATGAACTATAGTTATCATTATTTTAGTAAATATTACTGATACTGGTGCTATATGATTGGCTACATAAACATTTGTATAGCCTTTTGACTTTACAAACATACACTTAGCTTTCAGTTGCCTATTCAATGTTAAGTTATGAGTTACACTTACAATAAATGTCTATATCACACTACATAATGGCCAACAAACTTACAAAAATATTGCATTTGTGTAATTAGTGTGACAAAATCTGCAGGAAGGTCTAGAAGAGCTGCAGTTTGGCCAACATGGGTCTGTAATTACCAGCAGTGGCGTGCCGTTCACGGAAGCTGTGGAAGCATCGCTTTCCTTGTATTTTCTAAAATGTAAATGCATATTGTGCGATTGTTTTCATATTTTAACATAGTTTGAATTACTTAAAATTAATATTTTATTATAACCGCATTATGTATCTTATTACAAATTTCTATACATGTGAAAAACAGATAAGATTCCTATTGTATATTCAAATATAAATTCGTATCTGCATATTCCCAATGGAAGCGCTGTATTGTCGAATATGGGATAGCTTCCACGGTGAAAATATTTGAATTGTGTATAGCAGCCGGATTATACGCATTCGCACATGCACTTTACAGAGCACCAACTTCTTGGTTTAGCTCGTGGATGCTACATTCCAAAATATTGTATAATGCTTCCAATGATTCTATCCGGGGCTGGCACAGCTTCCCTATCATTAAATGTCACTGCATGCCATTGATTACCAGATATAGTCTATGTGTCTAATTCTAACATGTTTTGGTGCTCTCAACAATGATTTTGCCTTATAATGATAACATTTGAACTTTGAGCTATGTGTTAAAATTTTGATTACCATGGATCTTTCTGCCATTAAAGATTACTATGACTCAGTTCTCACACAACATTAAACTACTATTGAAAGTGAGAACAGGCATGTTACTCTTATTACAAATAACAGACTACTAGTAGTTTTTTTCACTTGATTATATATACAAACATTTACTTTTTGTCAACTTCTTAACATAACTATTAACTCTCAGATCTTTTGGGGTCCGAGAGTTAATTGTTAGGGGTCTGTGAATGATTTTTCAATCTTAAATTTGATTTGTTAATTAATTTAATTATGAAAAATATAATAAAAATACAATTCAATCCTAATTCATATTTCATTTGTCAACTATTAACATTCTGTGTTCGTGTATGTGCAATAAATTTAAGAACCTCTAGTTAATTGTTAATCAAGGAAAACTTTTATATACAAAAATTTTATTCATTTACTCCATTATTTTCTCTTCTTTGGAATCACTTTTGTTAAATAATTTCTTTACTTCTGTTACATCTATATATATAATTGAGACGAGTTGATAATAATAAGAATAAGCGCAGAGCCCAAACGGTTAGGAGTTGGAAGCTGAAATTTGGTACACAGATAGGGTACGTCACGAAAACGCACACTAAGAAGGGATTTTTCGAAATTCCCCCCGGGGGGGAAAGACAGGATTAAGTCTTAACACTTCCATCAACAATGGAAGTGTTAAGTAACAATGGAAGTGCTAAGTAACAATGGAAGTGTTAAGTAACAATGGAAGTGTTAAGTAACAATGGAAGTGTTAAGTAACAATGGAAGTGTTAAGTAACAATGGAAGTGTTAAGTAACAATGGAAGTGTTAAGTAACAATGGAAGTGTTAAGTAACAATGGAAGTGTTAAGTAACAATGGAAGTGTTAAGTAACAATGGAAGTGTTAAGTAACAATGGAAGTGTTAAGTAACAATGGAAGTGTTAAGTAACAATGGAAGTGTTAAGTAACAATGGAAGTGTTAAGTAACAATGGAAGTGTTAAGTAACAATGGAAGTGTTAAGTAACAATGGAAGTGTTAAGTAACAATGGAAGTGTTAAGTAACAATGGAAGTGTTAAGTAACAATGGAAGTGTTAAGTAACAATGGAAGTGTTAAGTAACAATGGAAGTGTTAAGTAACAATGGAAGTGTTAAGTAACAATGGAAGTGTTAAGTAACAATGGAAGTGTTAAGTAACAATGGAAGTGTTAAGTAACAATGGAAGTGTTAAGTAACAATGGAAGTGTTAAGTAACAATGGAAGTGTTAAGTAACAATGGAAGTGTTAAGTAACAATGGAAGTGTTAAGTAACAATGGAAGTGTCAACAATGGAAATACTACGTAACAATGGAATTGTTAAGAGAAAGCCACGTGCAATACGCAGATGCAGTTTTTTTCGTTTTTGCGGGAAATCTAACATATTTTTAGATCCATCTAAAAGTTCTCTAATTAGTCTGGAAACAAGGGGACCCAATTCTTGCATTCTGTGAAAACAGGTAAGGTTGACTGTAACGTAATAATCTTTATCTTAGTTATCGTTACTTTTGCCCGAGCAATGCCGGGCCCACCTGCTAGTTGACATATAAGTAAATGGTTTGACAAGTTGTTTAGGTTTAATTTTTTAAAATGCTATCAAAATTATTTTTTTAATAGATAATTTAATGCAACACTTGAATTGCTTTATATGTTTTCAATCTAAATAGATTTCAAACCTCAATAATGCTATAATTTTGAAAAAAAACAGAGAAACAATATAATTTACAGCATTCTAAATTATATCAAATTCAAGGACACAGTTAAAAGTTATCATTTCCATAAATAACAGTTTAAATAAGTACAAAAATACATTGTAGTGTTTCCAAATGTTGTTTATCTTATATTTAAGAATTTTAATTCATATAGATGTTGATTTTTACAATAAACTTTAGTATGAACTGTTAAAAGAATATTTTAGAATTTAAAAATGTATTATATATAGTTAAAGTTAATTATTGATAAAATAATCAAAGTTTGTTTGTTTTCACTTCTATGCATTTGGAGCTAGAACTATTTTAAGATGACCAAGACAAAACCTTTCTCACTTGTTTCTAGCCTTTTATACATGAGTACAAACATTTTCGGCCTTCTTAATAGGCCTTCTTCAGGTACACTGTGGTCTGTTAGAGTGGCTGTTGGTAGAAATTCAAACCGTGTCAATGTTTATATAGGTATCGTCTTACTAGTGACGTCATCGTTGATGATAAGATCTACCAACCAATGCTCTAATCATCGTTGATGATAAGATCTACCAACCAATGCTCTAATCATCGTTGATGATAAGGTCAGGTCTACCAACCGATGCTCTAACAGACTACAGTGTACCTGAAGAAGGTCTATTAAGAGAGCCGAAAACATTTGTACTCGTGTATAAAAGGCTAGGAACAAGTGAGAAAGGTTTTGTCTTGGTCACGTTTGTTTGTTACTTTTTATTTAGCATTTTTTATTTTATTCAAGAAACTGGAAGTATATTAATATTGCTGTTACTCAGAAAAGACATCAAGGAAACCTTATTGAAGGATATAAAATTTTTGGTATGGTTCCACATCTAGGATGCAAATGGTGGAAGCATCTATATTGTCATGGTCCGTCATGTTGTCCTGGTCAGGTTAGTCTGATAAGTGAGTAGCATTCAATGGGAATGTAATATGTTAACTAGGGGAAGAGGGTGGAATAAATACACGTCACTCTTTTCTCCATGCTACAGTAATATATTAACAAGGAGACTCCAACCAATCTGACTGGGACAAAAGACCAGACCATTAACTACATAGTTCCCCCACAAGAATGACAGAGAACTATCTAGTTTATAATATTGCAATTACAATTTGAACAAGTGAATAAAAATAAGCATTTAACAGAGTGGGATATTTAGGTTATGTGTAAGTCCAACTAATAATTTAACTAAATATATTCATTAATTTCACTACTTAAAATTTCAGACGTATTAAAAACGACTTACTGTATTGATAAAATGCTCAGCCATTTTTAAGATAGATACATTATGCTGTCTAGAATGCATACATTTCTTTACTTTAAGAAAATAAAATACAATTTTTTATAACAAACAAAACATTTTATACATATGATAAAAAGCATTAATGCAAAAAACTCATATTTTTAAATAATGTCTGAAAATAGAACAAAAAGTGAGAAGATTGCTAGGTCTGAAATGTCAAAAAAATTACCCTTATACCAGAGTTTAAAATATCAATGAACCTTATTAAACTATAAAAGCCAGTAGTGAGCTTTCTGACTTCAAAACAAAAGTTATAATTTAAATAACAATAAATCTGTATATATACATTTATTAAAAGCAAAATATTCTGTCACCACTGCACACAAATAACAAATTTAAAAAGACTTCTCGGCAAAACTATTAGTTATAAACTTCAGTGCTACCACTCAAACCTTTAAAAATGCAGTTTTTAAAGAACTACCAATCAAACCAAATGGTAGTTCTGTAAAGCATTAGTACTTGAACTAAAAAATCTCTAAAGCATTATTTTTCAACTTGTTCCAAAGGACATCTTTCATTTTTATTTTTTAATTATAATCAGATTTTTTTCTATCCCGAGGAAGGTCGTTTAAGATGACCGAAAACTTTCAGAAAATTAAAATTATACTGCATTTTTAAAAGTCTGAGTGGTAGTGCTGTAATTTATAAATTTTAAAAAATAGAGAGGTTGCGGCTGATGTTTTCGACGCGAAAACGTGTACGTCGGACATTCGGTGCCACCTTCCTGTGAGCCTAGAAGTTTGACAATGATGTCGAGCACAATTCTACTGACGTTCCAAACATCATTGTCAAACTTCTAGGCTCACAGGAAGGTGGCACTGAACGTCCGACTTACATGTTTTCGCATTGAAAACGTCGGCCGCAACCTCTCTATTAACTTGACTTACAATTTGAAAATTTCAACACAACTTTTAAATGGTTTTTAAAAACATTGTTTTAATTTTAATTTTAATTAATTTTATTTTTAATTTTAGGTTTAATTTATTTAGTATTAATTTAGTTTATTAAAAATAATTATAAAAACTAAATTTTTTGTTATATACATTTGCCTGCTTTCTAAAATTTTAATTATAAGTGAATTAACATTGATTGAACTATCAGGTTACCTAGTTAGTATAAAGTAAATAAATATAACTATAAAATAAAATCTTTCTTGTTACCTCAAGGTGAAATCATCTCACCAATGTAATAAGCATAGACCAGCATGTTACATGAATCAGTGAACTTAGACTGTCTGTTTCAATATTTTATATTGTATTTTTACTTTCAGTTATCAAATCTTGCCGATGATCGGACACATCGTTTACAGGGTTTACATTCTTCTTTGATGTGATTGATTTCCATGCTGTTGATATTACTGATTCCAATCTTTCTTTTGTACTTGGAAGTATCTTTTGTAGTCTTGTCTTTATTATTTTCAAAACAAAGAACTGACTTAAAGACAAGCTCTACATGTTTGTCTTTAAGTCAGTTCTTTGTTAATTTGCTAGTATGACAAGTCCTGTGGAGGAGGTAATTTCCTTCTGGACACTAATTTTTGAGTGAAGGAATTAAACTTGCTTTAAAATCAGTTCCATCAAGAAATACCAACTAACCATTCCACTGATACTAAGTTGATGGTTGAACAGATCTTGTTTTGTTATTCTCATTAGTAGTTTAGTTCAAGATTCAACCCAGACTCTGACATGCATCTTCTTAGAATTATACATTGCTAATTTTACCAATTAGCCATCTTTCCAAATATAGGAGTTTAATTTATTTGAAATTTTAATTATAATTAATAATGTATTGCACTTCACTTTATATATATTCTTTTCAATAACAATTGATATCATTATGTGATTTGATGTTTTGCATTTTTATGATTCATTAGATAAAAGGATGTTCAAAATTGCATGAATGGCTGTATGTGGTAAGATGTGTTGTTCATGCTCATTTATAGTAACGAAAATTGAGTATGGCAGAAGAGTCACAGAAATAGCATTATTGCTTGTGAGATGAGGTATTTGAGAAGAGTGTATGGCATAGGGAGAAGAGTGTTTATTTGAGAAGTTGGAGGAATGTGGGTGAAAGAGAGAGTGGTTCAAAAAGGTGAGTAAATTGGCTCTATGATGGTTTGATCACATTGAGAAGGAAAAGAAGAGAGTGTATACAGGAAAGGTGGATGGAAAGAGCTTAGTCATCCCCTACTGAAAGTCATGATTGGAAGAAATTGATGAGTATCTGAAAGAATGTAAGGTGTTCAGTCAGAAAGAGAATGTGAGGAAGTTGTGTTAGAAGAGGCATGAGTGTGTCTGTACAGGAAAGTGTGGAGAAAGTTACTGAATAGACGATTTATAAGATTGTAGTCTTCTTTTGTCTGCTGCTCATCCTTTTCGAATTATGGACTTAAGGAGTTATATGTATGTACGTAAGTTTCATTACACGGTTAGTCTTTTGTCACCTGAGTTCTGAGGTTATAAAGGCAAAAGCCTGACATTCTGATAGATCTAGATTGGAATTAGTCAAATTGTTGAAAGTTTTGTAGATAGATAGATTTGTTTATTTCGTCCATTTCTTCACTGATAGCATTGTATCTTGGAGGAATATCTGATGGGCATGAAAGAAAGGTCCTCTTAAATTTTAGGCCTGTGAGAGGTGGGATACGATGCCTTGATCTATACTGACACTAAGAAATATGAGTATTTGGATCCTCATGGTTATCCAGAGAGTAAATTTCAAATAGAGTGTATATCAAACTGTCTTTCTAAGTTTAGTTATTGTGTTATAAATAATTACTGATATATTCTTTTTCCTTAATTTCTGCATTAGAGAATTAAGTGTACCATTTCCATCTGGACATGAAGCAGAAATAGCATATAATTCTTTAAGGGTGGATTCTGAACCATTAAGAGGTGGAGTGAAGAAGAATTTCATATTAGAAAAGAATTTGTTAAAAGTGTAAGAAAGATAAAATTTTAAAATATTGTTAACTCTATACCTTAACCAAATAACTGTTATACTTATTGTTAGGGCTGTTCATTAATTATGTGTACAATTTAATGAAGAAGGGAGTTGTAAACAGTTCATTGTTGTACATAATGAAGGAGAAGGTAGAAGCATTGTTTATATGGACTATTTTTAGTTTTATTACTGGCTTAGAATTTGTTCATGTAAGTTTACTTATTAGTTGTGAAACAGTTAAAAAATATTTACAGAACTTTTTAAAGTTCTGCAAATATTTTTTAACTGTTTCACAAACAGAATTCGTGCCTCTGTCTAACACCACCACCAAGATATGCAGTTTACACTTTCCTACCATCTTGAATGACAACTCCTTAATTAAGGGAATGTTGATCTCAATGCTAGGAAATATCAAGCCCATGATAAAGCGTCACGGGGTACCTCCACAAGTTTATGTTGGGTGGACATAAACTTGTGGAGGTAGTTGATTGCTCTTGAACGGCAGATCAGTGTTCTAAAACAGTCCCTGATGGAGAAGGCAAAAGACACAATTTGTTGTTTCTTGTATTCAGTATAAAAGTTCTCTGTCCTGGCTGGAGAGCTCCTGGATTTCGGAAATCCCCTTCTTCTCTTTGTAGGAAGATTTCCTCTGTCCTGGTGAAGCAAAGAAAATTTGGTTGTCCTCATGAGTGAAGAACACAACAGAAAAAGGCCCTCTGTCCTTGAATTTAAGCCTCTTAAAGGTTTTGCATCCTGATCAGATGCTCTGGTTGGTTGCGATCTCTATCGTACACCTTTCCAATTGGTCTCTAAGTTGTTGTCAGGGCCAATTGAGACAGAATTTGAAAGTTTGACACCTGCCAAAAATGTTTATTGAATTTTGTCACGAATCTGCCATAATTCAAAGTCAACTGTTTTTACCTCAGTTGTAAATATCACCAGCTGCATCTGCATGACAATTGATTTTATTATATATACTATCTTCCCTTCTTCACAGTTGTTGGAGAAATTGGTCAAATTCCCAATCTGCTCTCTCACAATATTTTATTTCCAATGCATTTTAATTGAACCAGCTTTTTCTTTTAAAACAGATTTTGGTTGAGGTTTCAGCCTTCAGTTGAGATCTTACAGACTATTTAATTAAAGAGGATGGTGTCAAAAACTTTTCACATAATTAATGGTCATCCCCTTACAATTAAAATCCAAAACACACAGTAATACACCAAAAAAGAGTCTCAAGGAATCAGAATATATTTAATTTATTAAATATAATATTAATAATGATGATAACTCTCCTGTGGTCACCATCTGGTCATTGTGGGAGATCTCAATAATTTTACTGAACCATAGAAGAATACAGGCTGGAGCACAAGCTCCTGGTAGGGACACCCATGCCAGTAAGGTCTGTGGTGAGAAATGAAGCTAAGAGTGACCACACCCACATTCTGTGGAGATATTTATCATGATAGAACCAGATCTAAGTATGATACTGGCTCAGATGTTGCCTGGGTTAACAAGGTCTGCATTCATGGTTTAGGCAGAGGCTCATGTTCTAAAATTGGGCTACAGTCTCCTTTGGTTACTGGTGGCAAAAGCAGCACCGACCCAAGCATGGTTACTGCAATCCCTTCAACAGATGTGTAAAACCAACCTAGCCTTCATGTTTCTGTGGCAATGCAACCACAGATCACAAAGGCTGGAAAACCATGCCAGCAGATGAAATGGACAATGGAAATGAATGAGTTTATCATCTGTACTTACTACATCACAATACTTGAAACAAACCTGACAGCATACAGACAGCAACTAGATAGATTACCATAGATTCACACAACAATATCCTCACCTCGCTGTCGTGAACAAACGATTGTTCGTGACAGCAAGGTGACTACATTTGAATTTATTAAACAATAGGTTGCTAATCAAATCTGTCAACCGACAAATATTTAACATTAATGAAGATCACATAACCTGTCAGGATAATCCAGCAACAAGAACTGATAATAGGACACGCACACACACACACACACAAACACACACACACACACACACACACACACACACACACAACTATCACTAATGATACTAAAGACTCTTCCTCATTCACCACTGGTAACATAGACATAGATTTAGTTAATATGCTCTCACTTTTATTTCAGAAACATTCACTAAATATAGATGTACAGGTCACACAAAGATCAGGAATATCAAAAGTCAACATGTCTAAGCTAGTAGGAAAAACACTAAATTATGTAAACACTCACCTATGTAAACACTACATCCATTTAATTTCTACACTCTCAGACATTCATACATTAGTTTACACTTGGGGGAGTCACAGTAGTGATACATTATGGACTGAAAGTACAATCACAGACAGATACACACAAAACACAATTTTATCATAAGACTGGCTGACAAAGAAGAATAGAAACACAAATGAATGAGATTAGACAGCAATTAGGCTGGCTGACAGAATACACTAAAAGCAACATAACACCCAAATTAAAGAAACAACTCAAAAACATTTTCAAGAAAATCAAAACACACACAAAACATGAATATCACAACACACACATTACAGAATACATTGATACACTAAAATAAAAACTTGCACCCAAAGCACATAGATTCAAATTATACAAAACATGTGCACTACGAAAACAACAAAATAAATTATTTACAAACAACGAAAAACTCTTTTACAGACAAATTAGTACCAAAACAAACACTGTTACATAACACAGTGGCACACTAACAGAAGAAGAACTCACAACTTATTGGTCTTCTCTTTGGTCCAGTGCTGTTACACACAATGCTGATGCAGGCTGGATCGAGGAGGAGAACAAAAATTTGCACAACATACCAACTTTGCCCTGTGCTGAAATAAATGTACAGTACATGACATCTGCTACACTATTAACAGAACACACAACTGGAAGACACCTGATGTAGACAACATTCACAATTTCTGGTACAAAAAGTGTGCAACACTGCACAGGAACTAGCTAAACATCTAACACACGCTATCAACGATCCAGAAGACATGCCAAAATTTCTTACTTAGACATATCTACATGAAACCTAAAAACAACATTACCATAGACCCCACACAATACAGACCAATTACATGTCTTCCAACACTACAAATTATTGACATTCTGCATTGCAAACAAAATATACAAACATGTTGAAGAACATGACATTCTTACAGAACAACAAAAAGGTTGCCGTAGAAATCACAGGGGATGCAAAGAACAGTTACTCATAGATTCAGTCATTTTACGGCAAGTACACAAACAACACAGAAACATACACATGGCATATATAGACTACAGAAAAGCATTTGACAGTGTTCCACACAGTTGGCTACTACATATTCTACACATGTACAAAATATATCCATCACTCATTGCATTCTTCCAAAACATTATGCAGCACTGGAGAACAACACTACATTTCAGGGTTAGTAACACTTTCATACAAACAAACGAAATATTCATTAGGCGAGGAATTTTTCAAGGAGATTCCTTGAGTCCTCTCTGGTTCTGCCTAGCCCTGAATCCATTACCCAACATGTTAAAACTAATTTCAAAATAAGTACTTTCTGCTATACACTTTTAGTATCTATCATTTGTCAAAGCAACATGATGCTTTTTTGGGCTGCAATTTGAAAAAATTGTAGACGTATAAATTTCCACTGTCATTTGTCCATTTGTCTTTCCTTAATCTGAAGAGCAGAATTAGACAGATGAAAGACAATACCAGATATAGAAAGCTTAGGGGCAGGAGGCTCTGATTAACTATATATGAACTTTTGATGCAAACTTTAGGTCATGTTATTTCAATTCAAAAATTTCCTCTGAAAGATATTAGATAGATGACTGGCACAACTCTATTGTTATAGGAAAAATATGATGTACAAGGGCAAGCCACTACTAATTTGAGGTGGAGAACATATATTTTAAATTAAATTAATTAAAAATTGCAGCATTATGACAATGTCACAATAAATAATTGCTTGTTTCTGATGACATTCTGGAAGTTAACAAAATAAATGGCCACCAGAAGTGCATTGACAAATAGTATATATACTGTCAGAATGGCATAGATACCAAAGGAACTTACTTTGAATGTGGTGCTCTAAGAATTTGTGGTGTTATATAAAAAAAACCTGTGTGAAAAGTTTGGTTTATTTTTGACTATACTATGTTTTTGTTATAGGTGAAATTTCATTTCATAAATATAAAATAAATTCAGTCTCAGTACCTTATTAAAGCTGTTTCCTTTCTCTAACAGAACCTTCAAAGCAAAAGAAGCAAGACAGTTACGAGTCAGCGTGAATTCTTTTATGGACTTTCTTTCTCTAGTAATTGATACTATGGATAGATTTGGATGATTATTTTCTGTATATATTTATTTGTTTTGTTAATTATTAACTGTGTTTAACTTTATATATGTGTATATAATCAAACATGTAAGAATTTGGAAGAATCATATTTGTAATTAAGAACATCAATTATAAATACATTGAAAAAGTTTCTTTGTAGTGAATGTGATATGTTAAACATATTGATAAATTGCAATGTTTTCATTCAAAAAGAATTTTTGAATGAAATTATTACACATATACCTTCTTCTTGTCTTATGGAGGATGTCTAAAAACTTACTATGCAGTGAGAAATTTGTAATGACATTAAAGTTATATGTAAAATATTGCATATGAAACCTATAAGTTATAAAACAGAACACATACCAAAAAAACCTCACTTGCATATAGCGACAGAATTAAACAAACATTTTTGGGCTCTTCCTGAACCCCGCTTCAGGTTGTAGATGTTCTATGAAAAGAACGTAAACAGAAGAACATTGTTTTTGTTTTATAAACGCAATGTAGCGTAATAACGATCACTTGGCGTTATTAATTCTTTATTTCAATTTTCGTTGATATGCGTTTATACACACGTTTCAACGAAAATTGAAATAAAGAATGAATAGTGCCAAGTAATTGTTATTATGCTACATTGTGTTTATAAAACAAATATAAAGATACGACACGGTTTCAAAACATGGAAGAAGAAGAACATTGGTTGAATCCAAATATTGATTGCTACATTGATTGGATGGCAACTTATTCATAATGATAAATCATACATTGCTTGCATAGCATGTGATATTTGTCCTGCCCCTTTGTAGTTGATGCAGATCCTCTCATGTCGGCTTTAAAAATATCTAAGATCTTCAAATCCTGAATCCATTTGTTATGCATGGTTGTATGTATCAAACTTGTATGATATAATGGTTTAAATTTGTACAGCAGAGTTTATCAATAAGTAATATTTTGTTAATTTATTACATTTGTAACCATAATTAATATAATTTTGAAGAATATGAGAATATAAGGAAATGATTTAAAAGATGACTATCATTTTTTCAAGCTATGAATGAAAGGTGATACCATTAGTAATCTGTTATATGCTATGAAGTTCCAAAGAATTTCAATCAAAAGTATTATTACTGCATAATTCAGTCAGGGATATTTAAAAGCAATGTATTATTTTATATTTTATTTTATTATATATAATGAGACCCTAATCATATTTTTGTTTAATTTATAAATGGGTTTTTCTTCTTAGAATGAACAGCAGCAATGCTGCGAGATTGCTACCTATATCGTCCATTGAAATGGATGGATAATCATATTTTAAGCGCTAGAAGAGGTGTGGAATTAACAAATCCATAGATCATTCACTTGCTTATGTAAAATGTCATCTGTGCAATCTAATCTGGAATGTATTTATGATGGGGCATAGTTGGATTTGATGAGTTGGATATTATCTAAGAGGGTGGCAAGATGTTAAATACATATGTGATCTGGATGGAGGTTCTCTTAATTGATCCTCATCTGGCATCAAAGTGATTGGAAATGAATGAGAGGGTTGGTGGAGAATATAGATCACTTTCTTGTTAGCCATAAACCAGACCATAGTTGCAATTTGACATGGTTGCCAGAATGAAGGCAAGAGTGACTGCTCAAATCCACTGGATTTGATTATGACAAAGCCAAGGTTGAACAGTAGTGCTAGACATCAGCAGGATGGAATCAAGCTTTCTAAGATGGCCAGTAATGTCCATTCATCAGAAGACATCGTTGGGAATCCTTGAACATTCTAGGTCTCTTGTTTTGTTGATTTTACTAGTACTTTTTTTATAGAATTGTTAATGATACAGAGCATCCTTTATTGAAACAAATTTCTAGGTAACGTGATAACAGATAGACAACAGCTGAACCAAAGACTTCATTATACAGGAACAATGTTACTGTAGACTGTTATTTGCTGCAATAATAATCATGTTTTTATTGGATGCCATTAAAAAAAAATGAAAATCTTATGGGCAGGAGTCTTTTATGATGAAATGAAGTTTCTACATCAATAAAAATTTACCTACTGCACTGTAGTGGGCAGATTTTTATGCAGTTTATCATCATTAGGAGAGAAAAATGATGTATTTTCATTTGCAAAAGACCATTCAATATATTAAGATGTCAGCTGTTTATTTATATCAATTGATCAATCAATGTTTATATCTATAAACTGTATTATGTGCTGATGAAATTAGATGGGATTTATGACAATTATGAAAACATAATTAGTGAAAAACATTCTTTATTAATCATTGTAATAGTATTTTTATGGAAATTAACCTTCAATGTCTCGAGAATGGCAGAATACCGACGTCAACCGTTGAATATTAGTCAGAGCAGAGTAGAAGGATAATATAACACTCAATACTGAGAGAACCTACAAGGAATATGTATTAATTAAATTATTAAATATACAATTTTTAACATATTTTTTAAAATTTGCATAACTTACAGATGCAACAATTACTGTATTCATGTACTTTGGATTTTTAGTTAAGTTGATTAGATAAACACTAGATAAAACATACAGTACAATGAATATTGCATCAATCACAAACATCTGTAAACACAAAAATGTGCAATAAGTAATTTTGCATGTAGAGATTTCCAGTTTTATATATAAAGTGACTCAAAATTCAGTTAACTTTGAGTTACTTTATTGTATAGAATATATTTTAATATACCTACCAAAATTCTCGAGTTAAAATAGGTATTAAGTTGCTCAAAGATGTGAAAGTAGGATAGTATTAAGAATAGTATCGTAACGACTAAAGTGGATACGCAAACAGATTCGAAGAATGTGTATGAAGGTTGAATTTTCCTGTTTCGTATAGGACAAAATGTCTTTTCTTCAGTTGAAACGATGCCAGCAATGGCAAGTACCTGCAAAATATACTGTGATTAAACTTAAAATATTGCATGTCCCATAAGTCTGGAATCACAAGTTACTTTATATCCATAGGAAACAGGATCTTCATTTATATTTTCATATAGCTATCAGTTGCAATTATAACACTTCTGATGAGGGAAATTAATAGAATTTTCTTCATAGGAGGAAATTCTCATGAATTCATATGGCTCAATTTGCTAGGAATTTTAGCTAATAGTAATTCCTGTGAAGAATTCTTTATAACAGTAAACTCCTATGAACAATTCTTATCAATTATATGCATTAATTCTCTGTAGGAGCATCATTATTTGTATAAGCAACTATTACATTGATTTGTAGGAATAAGAGGAACATCCTAGCATATTTCTTCATAAGAATTTCATCCTGTGAGGAATTCTTATTGATGGTAAGGATCAATCTCTGATAGGATTTCCTACAAGTAGTAGTGACTCATATGAAGGATTGACTTATGCAAAACAGTACTCCCAGAAAATTATCAGTTAATTAAACTATTATGTTAATTAATTTGCATTATTTTCATGCTTCTGTTTCAATTCTTTACCAAATTAATTAAATATAAATAATTTAAATTCAAATTTTTGAGTTTCTATTCCAATTATTTGATTTTTTAAATAAACAGGTAGCTCGAAAATAAGTTAACAGAGATATTTTTAAGGTTATTTTGGTAAGGAATTAAAATGTTAAATAACTTTCAGGCCATCTGCTATATAATAATAATAATAATTGGAAAATTGCATACAAAATTCAAGCAGAGAATTTTCTTGTAAACTTTACATAAAAAGAAAATTTACAAATGCTAATACTGACCAGTTGCATAACTCTTGGAATTACATAAGCAGTTTTAAAGAAATTTGCTCTTTCCATTTTAAATTTCGATTTTCTTAACACTAAATGGAATTGTGCTACGTGCTCTGGAACACGAAATCACTCGAATGGTTAAATTTTAAAACATTCCATTACGTGGACTTCATGATTTCCAGTACACTTTAAATCGCATTTTCAAACGTTTTATCTCGGATCCTGAATAGTAACCACCATGAGGACTTTCATCAGGAGTCCACCAGTGGCCAAGTGGTCTTCGTACCCTGAACACTGTGGGTTCGTGCCTCGCTCGGATAAGCTGGTCACGTGGAGTTTTTCCCGGGTTTTCTCCACGTCTGTAACGCCTAAATAGGGGCCAGTTTCCCTTAAAAAACACCTCCCGGAAGGCATCCCTAGGCAGATCGCGTTGACGTAATTTATCCAACAAACAAACAAACTTTCCATCAGGAGGGCACGATTGATGATGCACCTGTTACTGGATGGATGCTTCACATTTGATGCAACTTTTTACTTTTCTAGTTGTTATATATAATAGAGGGAAAGTACAGCCGACCCCCTATAACACTTGCTTTTTCCGTTTTATATGATTTCCATGTTGTATGAGTCACTTAGATTTTACAAATACGTGAGCCGTTCACAGCCCGGCACACGTATTTGTAAAATATAAGTGACTCGTACAACATGAAATTCACATAAAACGGAAAAATCAACAGTGTTACAGGGGGGTCGACTGGTATAGCGATCGGTCAAAAACTGACACCCCTAAGATTTTTACATTTTTGGACTCGGGACACCTTGAAACGCCGAGAAATGGGAAAAAAATTTCGGGTTTTTTTCTTTTATGTGTGGATGTATAAAATATTCTTGTTGGTGAGGACGAGTTTATTGGGTTTCTTGTCTACCAGTTCAAATACGGGTTTATTTACCACGTTCAACTAAAAGCATCTTCACATAAACATATGAAAAGTGTTTAATGATTTTCATAAAACTCACCGCACGTATGGGAAATAAGATGATGTATATATCTTATTTAATTATTTAGGGCCTTCTCTTCACTTCTAAGAGGTACAGCTGCTGTAGCTTAATGTAAAAATGACGACTTAATAAAAGTTAAGATAAGCAATAACAAAGGTTAATAAATTCTCTCTCTATCCAGGATATTATAAAGATGATAGAAACGTCATTTGAAGAAATAACAGAAATATGTCCATTAATTAAAGATCGAAGTGGTGGGAAGATACGTGTCGTGTCATATTTCGAGTAGGTCGAACTTAATGACGATTTTATTCGTTATTAATCGAAATCAGACTTGAAGCATATTCTAATGTAACAATCATAAATGTAGAAAGCTATCCAATGCTTTCCTGCAGTTAATGTAACCGATGTGAAGCTTTCAAAGTGTTGAGTGTATCATTCATTGTATTTTGTAACCAATGTTGTTTCTATTTAATTTGTTTGTTGTATGGCATGTAATATTGTATTGCTGTATGAAAAATTCTCTTCTTTAAAGCTACGGTAATATTTCAGATATTTTTCGTTTTTCATGATTTTCCTGTCATACTGCTGTGTTTTGTGCAAGTCCAGACTGTGTAATAAGACATTTTATTTTCTGTGCTTATTGAAAACAAAATTGCATTAGTAATTTTTATATTTCTGTTATTATAAAACACTTAAAAGTTTTCATCTGAAGTATCAATGTACTTAAAATAACGATATAGGGGAGACCGGGGCAACTTCGGCATACGGGGCAAGTTTGTCAAGCGCTTTTTTTTAAAAACAAATTAAAAGGAGACTTTGGTTATAGGTTAGGCAGTTGAGTTTTATTGGTGGCTTGTTGAGTGTAGTGTTTTTATTGTTCTCCAACAAGCGTAGTTGAATTATCAAGCAAATTTTCATTTTCGTTCAATTCCATATAATATTTTTTTTCCATTTATATTGAATTGGCAGGTTTTGTTATAATTCCATGATAACGAAAGTTACTTTTCCTGTTAGAAGGATGTAACTTCAACTTATTCACGTGGCCAGATCGTGGCTTGGCATTCTGTTCTCAGGGTTGTACTTAATGTTTCGAAATCATGACTAGCGGGGTAAGATCGGCAACATAAAGCCACATTAGAAGCAAAGGATAAAAATCAAACAGATGATAAATGAAAACATGTTTGCATTTGTTATTCATGTATATATGTCTTTGAACTTGCATTTCGTTGTAATAATATTAAATGGGTGTTGGATTTGTATTTCTTTGTTTTAATAGTGAATTCCAACTTATACATTGTTAATAACATAATTTTATATACGTGCCTATCTTGCCCCATTACTGTTGCCCCTATACCAGGGGCAACTTTAATAAAAATAATTAAAATAATTACAACTTTACAAAAAGAGAGAAGTTGCCGATCTTGCCCCTATACCCGGGGCAACTTCGTCAATTTCTCTCTTCTTGTAAAGTTGTAATTATTTTAATTATTTTTATTTCCAAACTGATTTTAACCAGTTCTATAGTAAGGTAACATTCCAATAGACAATATGCAAAGCTTTTTTTTCAGTTTACAGCAGTATTTATTACACAAAATTTAAGTAAAGCTTAACATGCCGATCTTGCCCCGGTCTCCCCTATATGACTAGAAAGCTTTTGAGTTTAACATGGAAACCGACTCGTTAGAATAAGTTGAACACAACGCACTTTGAATCTGTGAATGATGCAGCAGAGTGAAGACAATCAACAGTTTTCATCAGATATTCTATTTTGTTTTAAAATGTTTTATATTTTTAATTACTGTAAAATAGCAAGAAACTTAATTCTCAAAGTAAACATGGGTGTTAAACAACTCGTAAATGCTAACAACGAATAATATCGCTATTAAGACCCCGTCGACCTTTCAATATCAAAACGTAATGGCGTCAATCACCTAATACACGAATCTCCCTGCAAAATTTAAGAAATTTTCGACAAAAACACACGAGTTATTAGGCATCAGAGTGAACAAAATCGTATCTTCCCGCATACATTAACGTCCATACAAACAGAAAGAGCCTCAAATCCTTTCATTTTTCGACGTTTCGAGTCCCGAGTCCATAAACGTAAAAATCTCGGAAGGACTCAATTTTATCAATCACCATTCTTTTCCTCTGTTGTTCACAATTTAAAACTGGTATAGCGATCGGTCAAAAACTGACACCCCAAAGATTTTTACATTTTTGGACTCGGGACACCTTGAAACGCCGAGAAATGGAAAAAAAATTTCGGGTTTTTTTCCTTTATGTGTGGATGTATAAAATATTCTTGTTGGTGAGGACGAGTTTATTGGGTTTCTTGTCTACCAGTTCAAATACGGGTTTATTTACCACGTTCAACTAAAAGCATCTTCACATAAACATATGAAAAGTGTTTAATGATTTTCATAAAACTCACCGCACNGACGTTTCGAGTCCCGAGTCCATAAACGTAAAAATCTCGGAAGGACTCAATTTTATCAATCACCATTCTTTTCCTCTGTTGTTCACAATTTAAAAAATTTATAACTGTTATAATATAAAATATATTGGAAATAAAAACATATATATTTTTTGTATTGTTTTTATATGTCCACCATCTTTAGTGCAATACGATTTTGTAGTTCACTGAAAACTGTTTGCCAATTGATTTATATTAATGCTTGAAATCACATTAGTTATTTGAGCTTTCATCTATTCTACCTATCGAGGTTTACTTGCATACATCATTCATTGTTTTCACATGTCTCCATAAAAACTGTTTGGAGTCAGGTGTGGCAAAGGTAGAAGCCAGGAAAATGGACCATTTCTTTAAATCAATTAATAAATAGTTATACGTAAAACTATATACAATAAGCTTTTCTTAGATTTTAATAAAGTTATGAATTTTTTAAATTGCACACGGACTTTATGGACATTCAGTATATAGGAAAACGGGCAAAGTAAAATTAATGAGCCAATTATATGCGAATAAAATTCATTTTTTTCCAGGTGTAATAATAAAGTGTAAAAATGGATTTTTTTCAAGTCCAGTCCGTTTTGAAAATTGTCACCGCTGCCGCTGGTATAGATCAATTTATACCTGTTTACATGTATACAAAATATATATCAAAATGCATTTTCCACCTGCTGGTCCCTCTGTATATGTATATATAAAAATTAAACTTTAGACCATTATTTAAAGTATGCTTTAATATAACAATTATAATAAACAATTTTACAATCTCACATTGCACTTTCAGAGTTGCAACATTATTTAATTTGCTTGCACATAAAAATATTGTACAAATGAAAACGTAGTTTTATTACTACGTTTTCATTCGTACCATACAAAGACTATTCTTATAGATTGTGTATGTAAAGAACCTACTTGCACACAATCGAAATTTTTATTTTCCGGTGGATTTAACACTTCGAATTCTGGAAAAAAGACATAATCAACAGATGTAACGCCAGGTGATACTGCTTTAAACGCGTCTAGCGTTCTGCTAAAAAGGTATTGATTAAAAAAATTTTCCATGGATATATTACAAAAAATAAAAGCAAAACATTTCTCTTGAACCATTTTGGGTTTCAAGCATTTCACTCTCTCCAACTTTTCTTTTACACTACGATAATTCCATTCGATATTTTTTATACATATAGAAAAAGCCTGAACTCTTTCTCCGTAAAATGCAATGCCTCTTCTTATCTTCTTTTGGATGGTGTAAGTAGTGTACGCACCAGTTCTATCCTTATTCAAACGGATTCCATAATCATTAAATCCGATGACGCATTTTAATTCTTTTTCCGGTATCTTCAGTAGTTTAGATACGTACGGCATTTCTTCTGTATTAATTATATTTCTTTCTTCGATCGTATATACAAAATGTCGGATATTAAAACCTGGAACCGATGGTATCGTGGCGATATTTATTTCGATTCTATCTTCTTTTAATAAGCGCACGTTATATGGTAGTTGAACGCTTTTTTCTATAATTGAGTAAATGGTTAAACACCAATACTGTTCATCATAAAAGCGATAGTTGTAAAAAAATGCAAATACTTACTGTCCTTATTTTCTTTGAATACGATAACTCCATCCAACAATTCGTCTTCTGTCGGTGTTTTTAAGTGTCTGGGACAAAGCGATGCCCAATGGCAAACGTAACACGGTTCCAAACAAAACCACAAGTAGTGAAAATTGTCACTATATCCTACTAGAGAACCAAGTTTCTCATAATTGTCTGTTAAGCTGTTTAGCGTGGAAATTGGTAT